TTTTTCTTTTTCTTTTTCTTTTTCTTTTTCTTTTTCTTTTTCTTTTTCTTTTTCTTTTTCTTTTTCTTTTTTTTCTTTTTCTTTTTCTTTTTCTTTTTCTTTCTCTTTCTCTTTCTCTTTTTCTTTTTCTTTTTCTTTTTCTTTTTCTTTTTCTTTCTCTTTCTCTTTCTCTTTTTCTTTTTCTTTTTCTTTTTCTTTTTCTTTTTCTTTTTCTTTTTCTTTTTCTTTTTCTTTTTTTTTCTTTTTCTTTTTCTTTTTCTTTTTCTTTTTCTTTTTCTTTTTCTTTCTCTTTCTCTTTCTCTTTCTCTTTCTCTTTTTCTTTTTCTTTTTCTTTTTCTTTTTCTTTTTCTTTCTCTTTCTCTTTCTCTTTTTCTTTTTCTTTTTCTTTTTCTTTTTCTTTTTCTTTTTCTTTTTCTTTTTCTTTTTCTTTTTCTTTTTCTTTTTCTTTTTCTTTTTCTTTTTCTTTTTCTTTTTCTTTTTCTTTTTCTTTCTCTTTCTCTTTCTCTTTCTCTCTCTCTTCACCAGTCACTATTGGGTTAAAGAAAAGGGTAAACGGGCAAGACAGGCAGTACTCGTAATTGGCTCATTGGTGTTTTAGTGTAAGTGTAGCCATCTATTTGTAAAAACTCACAGTGGGCATGTCACGTATACGTGACAGCCCGCTGCGAATGGGTTAAGAACTTGTCATAAAGTCTTAAGTAAATTTTAGATTGGTAAAGAAATGAAGGTCAAGATAATTTTTGTTATATTTATTCTGATAACTTCAGTATTTATCATGATTATATTTAATTTTTTTCTCTGTTGCTGTTGTGAGATGAGAGGAAATTCCAGTGTATGGTTGCATGGTAATGATGACAACAGTAAGTAGGACTTTAATAGCTCAGAAAGATGCTGACTTGGATCCTACGCAAAGCAAATGCGAGGAGGGCATATGAGTCATGATTTTGGTTGTATTTTTGACCTGTGTAGCAAGTGTGATGATGAAATTTTGGGAAAAGTTATGCCATTTTCTCTACATGCACAGGTGTGCACACACACACAATCACACACACTCACTGTCACACACACACACACGCACACGCACACGCACACTCACGCACACACACGCACACTCACGCACACTCACGCACACTCACGCACACTCACGCACACTCACGCACACTCACGCACACTCACGCACACTCACGCACACACACACACACACACACACACACACACACACACACACACACACACACACACGCACACACACGCACACACACACGCACACACACACGCACACACACACACACACACACACACACACACACACACACACACACACACACACACACACACACACACACACACACACAATGCTGATAGTCAGTCACTGAGACCTTTCTGTATTGTAAATGAATGAACAGAATTATGTTAAAGCATTAATAAGATTAATACATCAACCTTTTTATCCTCATCATCAACAGCTGGTATACAAACCTGTGTCTCGTCCTGATGCATCCCAGTACCGCCATGCCCCTCGTCACATGCCCTCAAGTGATGAAGAATATTCTTCAGACTCGGACTCAGACGCACCAAGCATCCCCAAACGGAAACGACCAAACATCAGTAAGATGGAGACCAGCGCAGTTGAAAGGTGGGCTTTGTGTTTTGGGTAATTATTTAGAACATTTCCGCATCAAGTCGAAGACTCTGCTTTGTATTTCAACAAAACTAGCAAAGAAGTTGGACTGGTTCCTAATTGGTAGATAAATCAGTAACAAGGTTATACAGGCTCTGTATAACCTGTATAGCTCTGGTTGAGGTTAGTTGACCCTTGGAATGTGAGGAGGACCTGAACACAGCATGTTACTTCATACCTTGATCCGGGGATTTTCAAAAGGAAATTTGGGCTTATGTTTGTGTGTTCTTTTTTCATAGCTGATAGTGGTGCCTGATGTGTTAATCTTTATGGTATGATAAGATGATGCTCTTGTAGAGAACTAATCAGCAGACATGAACAATAACACTACAAATAAAGGAAAAAGATCATGGAATGTGCCACTCATAGCCGAAGTCCACTTGGTCCTCCCAAGTTTCAGTGCTGTCTTGCTATCATACCGAGGTGAAGGCAATGTTTCCCATTTGTTTGTTTTTTTAGATACAGATATAGGTCATTGGTAATATTCATGGGAATATGCTGAGGTATATGTGTGCCTCAGCATTATCAATACAAATTATCTTCATCTTTGTGTAAATAAAAAGATGAAGAGGATTGAGAAAAATGCTAAACTATGCTTAGTACCTTTTTGCTTTAATGATGCTTTTACTTTAACTGTTTTATTCACAACTTGATTTTTCTTACTCTTTACTTTTCCACACACACAACTTGTGCATTATTCTGTCAGTTGATTATTTAGAACAGAAATACATTCGCCTTGAATCCCAAGTATTTACCCAATGCAAGGTAAATATCTAATTAAGAATTGCACTTGCAGTCACGACCCCAAAGGATGGACAG